CCTGCTTGTGCTCTCTCTCTCTCTCTCTGTGTCAAATAAATAAAATCTTTTTAAAAAATCATTTAAAAGGTGGGGGGGGATGGTCACATTTTCAGATGCTCTCTCTATTTAGACTAACATCTCTATAGCTGCTAGTTAAATGAGGGATGTCTGGAAATGAAATCAACACACTGCCCCTTACTCTTTATATAATATTTCCTTGTAATGAAATTCCATACTACTGGTTACGTGATAATAATTTTGGCAAGTAGAATTTAGAACATTTTGTTCAAGTTAAATATTATGAGGAAATGTGTATATAGTGATAATTCATAACCCATAGGTAAATATGACTTGTAAAAATAGCTTTTATTTTCATGAGAAAAGAAAAATCACTCATAGTCTTACCACCCAAACATAATTTCTGTTTAATGGCTACTTAATACTCATCTAGTGGAAATACCATAGTTTACTCTTGAATAAGTAAGTTATTTTTATTTCCTAGAAACTATTACTAATCTGTACTAAATAACTCTTTACATAAAGTTGGTAACATTGTTTAATTATCTTTTTCTACTAGATTGTAACCTCAAGTACAGGATTGTGTTTTTTATTCATCTTTGTTTTCTTAGCCCAGTGTATGGAATATAGATGCTATATAAGTATTTGTTGAACCAAATTACTACTTTGGAAAAGTTAATGAAATAGAGTAATTATTTTTCTAGGGAAGAAATGCCAAGATTGACTAAGTAGAAAACCTAAATAAATACAGAAGAAAAATTTTAATCAAATATATCTGCAGAATATATTAGAGCCCTGAAATTTTGCTTCTGAGTTCTTTTAAATTTTCAAGAAACCAGTTACTTTTAAACTTTTGATTATTGAAGTTTTCAAACATACCTGTTACCCATCTTCAGTAGTTACCCACATTCTTCGAGTGTATGGACAGCTAATTCTGATCCAGTAAAACATATTAAAAGCCTAAATTCTATAGTCAGAAAACTGGATTGAAATCCTGGTAGGATCTTGAGTGAATTAACCTAACCTCTCATGTCCACAATTAGTACAGTAGTAATATTTACCTATTATTGAGAGGATAAGATAAGGTAATATAAAAAAAATAAAAATAATAAAATAAAATAAGGTAATATATATTGTGCATAAAATATGCCCCTTGAGTAGGAATAAACCAGTCAATGGTTTATTAGCCCAATATGGTTTATTTAGCCCAAATATCATCATAGCATATGTAAGGATTCTTTTTTAAATAGGCTCCACCCCCATAAGAGAAATCAATGTGGAAGAGGATTAACATTTTTATTTTAAATCAGCATTAAACTAAAAGATTTTTTAATCCTTGATTTAAGGCAAGCTAATATAAATTGATAATGAAACCCCAGTAAAAATAATTATCGATGTACTGGAGTAGATATTTAATAAAATAGGTAATACAGGGACCAGTAATTGTATTTTTAAAGTGTTTAACTTCGTAAGTATAAGGAAACACAAGCTAAATGTAAATTTTTAAAAATTCTTCTATATCAAATAAACGTTTTAAAGTAGTAATGCTGATGGATATATACCAAAATAGGTCCTTCTATCAACTTTCTTCTGAATTGTACTTAGTATAACATTTTCATTTAATAGAATGAGAATATGTATTTAAATGTTCATATGCTTTGACCCAGTCATTTATGTTCTAGTAATCTCCTGAAGGGCATCCTCAGAAATTAAGATTTATGTACAAAGATGTTAATCATAACATTATTTACAGTGGCCAAAAATTATGTAGACAGTTCAAATGTCTCGAATAAGAGAATATAAAAATAAATTATGGTATATTTGTACAATGAAATATTACACAGCCAGTAAGAATATTTATAAAGGATTTTTATAGGAAAATTTTAATTTTAAAAAAAACAGTGAGGGGACACTTGGGGTGCTCAGTTGGTTTCTGCTTGGGAGTCTGCTTGAGATTCTCTCCCTGTCCCTCTTCCACTACCCTTTGCCACCTACCCCTGCTCCTGCATGCACATGCTCACACGCTCTGTCTCCATCTCTAAAATAAATAAATCTTTAAAAAATTAAAATTAAAAAAATGAAGTTATAAAGCTAAACAGTATTATCTCAATTATGTAAAAGGAGAAATATACTGATATAGCTGTGTACATTTAAAGATTTGAACATAAAATATGAAAGGGGATTGTATTATCTCTAGGTTGTGGAGTTAAGAGTATGACTTACTTTCTTCAAACTTTACATTTTTTAAAACATGCATATATTGCTTTTTTAAAAAACAGACTTTTTTTTAGAATAGTTTTAGGTTTGTAGCAAAACTGAGAGGAAGGTACAGAGACATGTTGTATACCTTTTGCCCCCACACAGGCATAGCCTCCCCCCAGCTATCAAAATCCCCCACCAGAGTGGTACATTTGTTACAATTGATGAACCTACATTGGAACATCATTATCACCCAGAGACCATAGTTTACTTTAGGGCTCACTCTCAGTGGTGTGCATTCTGTGGGTTTGGACAAATATATAGTAACACGTATCCACCATTATTGTATGGTATCATAACAGGGTAATTTCATTGCCCTAAAAACCTTTTGTGCCCTACCTATTCATCCTCCCCAGTCCCTGGCAACTACTGATCTTTTTACTTTCTCCATAGTTTTGCCTTTTCCAGAATATCATATAATTGGAATCATACAGTGTGTAGCATTTTCAGATCGGCTTCTTTCAGTTAGTTATGTGCATTTAAGTTTCTTCCATGTCTTTTCATGGCTTTGATGGGTCACTTCTTTTTTTCTTTTTTGGAAGAGAATGGCTCGTGCACGAGTGGGGAGGTGTAGTGGGCAGCGAAGGGATGAGGGTGAGGGACAGAGAGACTCTTAAGCAGACTCCATGCCCAGCCTGGAGCTGACTTGGCTCTGTGGGACTTGATCTCATGGCCCGGAGATCATGATCTGGGCCAAAATCAAGAGTTGGATGCTTAACCAACTGAACCACCAAGGTGCCCCATATTTCATTTCGTTTTATGCTGATTAATACTCCCTTGTCCAGCTGTACCACAGTTTATTTACCCATTCACCTACTGAAGGATGTCTTCATTGGTTCCAGGTTTTGCCAGTTACAAGTAAAGCTGCTGTAAACATCTGTATGCGGGTTTTTGTGTAGACATAAGTTTTCAACTCCTTTGGGTAAATACCAAGGAGCACAATTGCTGATCATATGCTAAGTGTAGTTTAGTTTTGTAAGAAACTGCCAACTGTCTTCCAAAGTGGCTGCGTATACGTTTTGCATTCCCGCCAGCCGTGAATGAGGGTTCCTGTTGGTCCACATCCTCACCAACATTCAGTATTGTCATGGTTCTGGATTTTGGCCATTCTAATTACTTTTTGAAAGTCAAAAACCAAAACAGAAATAAATTTCAATAAAGAAGAAGTTCTTTTATTTTGTATAGTTGGCAAGCTGTAGTCCCTCTGCTTCTTCTCCGTACCCTGCTACTGTTGGACCAGCGGAGAGCAGTGGATTGAGGTCTCGCTACCGGTCTTCACCCACCGTCTATAATTCCCCTACTGACAAAGAAGACTACATGACAGACCTACGAACTTTGGATACTTTTCTTAGAAGTGAAGAAGAGAAACAGCATAGAGTTAAGCTGGGTACGTATATATATTTTTAGTTAGATCTAATGTACCTATTTTTGGTGTTACTTTACATTATCCTTAACTCACTATGTTCAGTATTTTGATACCTGTCCATAAATGTTT